CCCCAAAGCCCCAGTAGATAGTTGTATGTCATAGTTGCACATCCTTCTAGTTGCTGTATGTGCGACGCTGCCTTAGCATGGCTGGAGAAGCGGTGCGTTGGTGCACGCCCGGGATCCAAACCTGGGCCGCCAGTAGCGGAGCGCACGCACTTAACCGCTAAGCCACAGGGCTGGCCCCCATTTTATGTTTTAATTTGGGTTTCTCCAGAAGTAGACTATGAGACAAGGACTTGAATGCAAATACTTTTCTGAGAAGGTGAGATAGGAAAGGGAAGGCAGACAAAAGTAAGTTATCATTATGGGTAACTGGAGCTTAGTCTCACTGGGAAACTCTAGAAGCCAGGGTACAGCCATGTGTCTCAGAGTCATCCCAGCCAGAGGGTGAAGAGTATTTATCCATCATTTCCCATCAGTCATTTGTTTAGGGCTGCTCCCAGGGAAAGAGCCATTAATTATCTGGCATCTCTGGCTTGCCTTGCTCTCTGGGCAAAGCAGATTACCAACGCCAGAATAAACCCTCAGCCAAAAAGACACAGATGTTAGGCCTCACAGAATTCCCAAAACACTTTCTACAATACAGAATTCCTACAAAATATCTACAACCACACCCATTCTTATCTCTTCCTCTACAATATCAGAACAGGTATCCAGTTCCCTTCCTGTTCATGGTTAATCCATTCACCTGTGTTCTGGGACCCTGTAGTGACCACAACTACCATAGTTTGGTGGGTTTTTTTCCTGTCCAGAAGGATTTCCCTCCTCCTTCTTGTGGTTTCTTTGGAGAGCTCTTCCTTACAACTCTGGGTTTCCCAGTTGTATGAACTGATACATTTCCTTTTTTGCTTGAACTAGTTTGAGTTGGATTTCTCTCACATGCAACTCAAAAGACACTATTACAGGCTCATGACCTCCTTAAAACTATTCATTTAACAAATCTTTATTGAATGTATACTGCGCATCCTCTCTGTACCAGATGGGAATTCTGATTCCAAGGAACTCACAATCCAGTGATGGAGACAGAGAAGGATGTAGGTAACTCCCATAGTGTGATAAATGGTCTGAGAGCGGCATCTACCATTATCCTCTAGTTTCTTCAACCTCTCTCTCTCCAGAATCCCTACTCACTCTTCATACATTCTCGTCTCTAAACCCCTTATAAGACCCCCTTAATGTTACAACCTCCCTCTAGTTACTGCCATATATCTTCAGTCAAGCTTTTAAGAAGAGTAAGCTATTCATATTGTCTTCAGATTCTTATTTCCCACCGAGACCTCAGTATATTGCAATCTGGCTGAAATCTATTAAATTTACTGTTAATAAAACAAACGACCTCCTAAATGCAAAATCCAGTGTATAACTCAGTCATCATCCGTGGACATTTGACACTGATGCTCTCAAGGAATCTTTCTCACGAAGCATTCTCCAAAGGCTGATTTCCAAAATCCACATTCCTGACTCTTCATTCACCTTTCAGAATTTTTCTGTCTTTTTTTGAGGGCCCTCTTCCTCAGCCAAACTCTTATGTAATGGTATGCATTAAGGAACACTATTCTGGGTGTTAACCAGTGGCGAAAGCAGTTAAGTGTGCATGCTCCGCTTCGGCGGCCCAGGGTTCTCAGGCGTGGATCCCAGGCTTGCACTGACGCACCGCTTGTCACGCCATGCTGTGGCGGCATCCCATATAAAGTAGAGGAAGATGGGCATGGATGTTAGCTCAGGGCCAATATTCCTTGGCAAAAAGGAGGAGGATCGTCATCAGATGTTAGCTCAGAGCTGATCTTCCTCACCAAAAAAAAATAATAATAAATAAGTAAAAAATAAAGGATTTAAAAAAACAAAAAGGAACACTATTTCTCATCCTTTCCTTTTTAAATATTTCCTCTCTGGTTAATCTCCTCCATGCCCATGAATTTAATTTCCAACTCTCTGATGACAACTCTGAAATCTGTATTTCCAGGTATACTTTGATGGTGGTTCTCTCAGGTTCCCACTGTTCTTGTATATACCTCCATTAAGTCAGATATCATATGGTATTCTAATTATCAGCATGCCTTTTCCTATTAGAATGTCAGTTTCCCGAAGTCAGTGTGACAGGCACAGAGTAGGTACACAATAAATATTTATATAAATTGCTGAATGATTCTTTCATTTCCTGGATCCTGTCAGATAATCTGCAGTATATCCCACAAATATATTATAAAAGTAATTCCAGCGTGGCCCGGTGGCATAGTGGTTAAATTCAACGCGCTCCACTTCAGCAGCCCAGGGTTCACAGGTTCGGATCCCAGGCATGGACCAACACCACTCATCAAGCCATGCTGTGGTGGCAACCCACATACAAAATAAAGGGAGACTGGCACAGATGTTAGCTCAGGGCCAATTCCTCAAGCAAAAAAAAAGAAAAGAGGAGGATTGGCAACAGATGTTAGCTCAGGGCCAATCTTCCTCACCAAAAAAAAAAAAAAAACAACACAAAAACAACAACTAATTCCAGATACGGTCATGTGTCACTTAGTGGCAGATATATTCTAAAAAATGCATCGTTAGGCTATTTCGGCACTGTGTGAACATCATGGAGTGTACTAATATAAACCTAAATAGTATAGCATACTACACACCTAAACTATATGATACTAATCTTATGGGACCACCACTGTATATGTGGTCTGCAGTTGACCAAAACGTCATTATACAGTGCATGACTGTTTATGAACCACGAATTTCTCACCTTGTATTTTCTTTGTGTCCTCACTTTCCATGCTTCTCTGTATTCTTTTTCCTTATATTTAATCTGTAAGATAAAAGTATTTTCTCAATTTAAATCAATGTTTGAGAATTTCAGAGTTATAAACGCAAAAGGGTAGGGAAAGAATAGTTTTCCTGAAGCCAGAAGAACAAGGATTGAATCTACAATTTATTAGATGTGTGATTTAGGGGGTGCTTAAGTTCTCTGAGGCTAAGATTCCTCATATGTAAAATAAGAAATTCCTACTTCATAAAGTTGTTATAAGAATTAAATTTGAAAACATACATAAATGCATCTGGCATTCTTAAGTACTACAAGCATTCAATGCATTTTAATAAATAAACACACGAATGATTGGTTGACTGAATCAAATTGATCCTCTTCTGGTCCTACTTCCTCATTTTCCTCCCTGTAAATTTTCATACCACTGTTTAGAGTGGGCACCCGTCCATGAATCAGATTCAGAAGTTAAACACACAAACACAAACACACACACACACACACACATACACTTTAGAACTGCATTTCTCTTCATAAGTAATGCTAAAAATTTTTCTAACAACCCATGGTTTTTTCGACATAGTGTTCCACTATCAAGCTTAAGTCTTTTTTTATGTATCATTTGTTAAAAGAATTTTTAAAATAATTGGCAACCCTGATATAGCCTCTCATATGCTTTAAAATGCTAAACTGATTTTTTAGAAAAATGTGTCAGAGTCCAATTAACTTCTTAGAGCAATGAATCAGGACTCAGAACTCTAAAATTCCTATTTACTTCAATACTATGTGGTTAAAGGGAGATACCTAATTATCCTTTTTATTTTTCATTCTCTCAAAATAAAAATAAAATTCCCAAACAAAAAAGAAATTTAATAATAAATGTGAGAATTTTTTATAGAGTAATGTACAAATATATACTAGTTTTGCCATTTTTTAACCTAAGTATTCCATTAAAAGAGGAATGGTTAGGTACATTATAGTACATCTACGGGATATTGTTACAAGAATACTGATGTTTACTTGAAATGCTTAATAGCCAGGAAAAATGCTTCTGTTACAATGTTAATCAAAAAGAGGAAGACAAAATTTTACCCATAGCATGATCCCAATTATGTATAGCCAAACAGAAAATAAAATTAGGTGGAAAACAGTAACATGTTAACATTTGTTGTCTTTAGCTGGTGGTTTTATGGTGTTTTATTCCACTGTTTTCTATTTTTCACAATTTTTATAATAGTAAAAGCTTCTAATGTTTGGCAAGTCCTATCATAGGCCAGGCTCTGTTCTATAAACCTTATAAATATTATCTTTTTAGTCTTTACAACAACCCTACGAGGGAGCTGTAAGGATGGAGATAGACAATGAGAGGGTAAACAATTTGCCCAAATTCAAACAGCCAGTTAGTGCCAGAGCTGGAATGGGAACCAAAAAAATCTGAGGCCATGCCCTACATTCTTATCCTCTAGTATACTGTCTCTCATATGTAAATATGCATTACCTTTAGGCAAATGGGTTAAGATTTGGAAAAGGAAAACTAAATTAAAAAACAGACTTAAAAAAAATGGACTACTGGAAGAATAAACATAGTTAAAATGTCTATATTACCTAAAGCAATCTACAGATTCAATGCAATCCCAATCAGAATCCCAATGACATTCTTCACAGAAATAGAAAAAAGAATACTAAAATTTATATGGGGCAACAAAAGACCCCGAATAGCTAAAGAAATCCTAAAGAAAAAGAACAAAGCAGGAGGCATCACAATCCCTGACTTCAAAACATACTACAAAGCAATAGTAATCAAAACAGCATGGTACTGGTACAAAAACAGACATACAGATCAATGGAACAGAATTGAAAGCCCAGAAATAAAACCACACGTATACGGACAGCTAATTTTCGACAAAGGTGCTAAGAACATGCAATGGAGAAAGGAAAGTCTCTTCAATAAATGGTGTTGGGAAAACTGGACAGCCACATGCAAAAGAATGAAAGTGGACCATGTGCTATCGCCATTCACAAAAATTAAGTCAAAATGGATCAAAGATCTGAAGGTGAGACCTGAAACTATAAAACTCATAGAAGAAAATATAGGCAACACACTATTTGACATTGGTTTTAAAGGAATCTTTTCGGATGACATGCCTACCCAGACTAGGGAAACTAAAGAAAAAATAAACAAGTGGGACTTTATCAGATTAAAGAGCTTTTATAAGACAAATTAAACCAGAATCAAGATGAACAAACAACCAACCAGCTGGGAGAGAATATTTGCAAAACATACATCTGACAAGGGGTTGATCTCCATAATATATAAAGAACTCACACAATTGAACAACAAAAAAACAAACAACCCGATCAAAAAATGGGCAGAGGAAATGAACAGACACTTCTCCAAGGAAGATATACAGATGGCCAATAGGCACATGAAAAGATGCTCAACATCACTAATCATCAGGGAAATGCAAATCAAAACAACACTAAGATACCACCTCACGCCTGTTAGAATGGCTATAATCACCAAGACAAAAAACAACAAATGTTGGAGAGGATGTGGAGAAACAGGAACCCTCATACACAGCTGGTGGGAATGCAAATTGGTGCAGCCTCTATGGAAAACGGTATGGAGATTCCTCAAAGAATTAAAAATAGAGATGCCCTATGATCCAGCCATCCCACTACTGGGAATCTATCCAACGCACCTGAAATCAACAATCCAAAGAGGCTTATGCACCCCTATGTTCATTGCAGCATTATTCACCATAGCCAAGAAGTGGAAGCAACCTAAGTGTCCCTTGACTGACGATTGGATTAAGAAAATGTGGTATATATATACAATGGAATACTACTAAGCCATAAAAAAAGACAAAATTGTCCCATTTGCAACAACATGGATGGGCCTGGAGCGTATTATGTTAAGTGAAATAAGCCAGAAAGAGAAAGACAAACACTGTATGATCTCACTCATATGTGGAATATAAACCAACACATGGACAGAGAAAACTGGACTGTGGTTACCAGGGCAGTGGGGGTGGGCACAAGTGGTGAAGGGAGTCATATATGTGGTGATAGACAAACAAAAATGTACAACCCAAAATTTCACAATGTTAGAAACCATTAAAACATCAATAAAAAAAAAAATGGACTACTGTATTATATGTGGAGGTTTTTGCTTTGCGAGGGAGTTTAAAGACTATTTCCTTAGTTTTAATTAGTCAATCTATTCTGCTTCTTAATGTAATTTTATTTTTAAAGAGGGATATAATTTTTAAATCTAAATGTCCTGAAATTGAAACTGACAACATACACTACCTCCTATTCCCCTTTGTCTTTCTTATACTGTTTTCTAATAAATGGTTACTTTGCACAGTAAAATTCAAGTTTGCCAAGTACCTAGCAGCAGTTATACAAGCCATCTATTTACTAGCTAAGTGCTTGAAAACATCCACAGCAAAGGACAAGTTATAACTTTCAAGGGATTGATAATTTAAAAAATTACATTTAAAATTATAAAATACAGTCTATTCCCAAGAACAAAAGCATCTGCCCAATAAAGCAGATTGAAGACAGTAATTTAGTGAACAGATGCAAACTGTAAGGAACAACAAGGTTTCATTATTTACTGTATTTTCACAGGAAGAAAAGTGCTTTTTCCAGGTAACAGGAAGAAACTATCCCATTTACCGTATCCACTCAATCTACTCCCAAAAATAGTACTGTTAACTCAAATTCAAATTTAAGCAAGAAAATTAGCTGAACTCTTTTACTCGGCTTAGAAAATGGTAACATGAAAAGCTTTTAGAAATCTGAATATCACCCCAAAATATCCAAAAGATAAATGGTATCTTTCTGTGTAAGGCTGGCAGGGCTGAAAATCCTACCACTAACCGCCATCACTAAATTGTTGACAGCCAGTACCCAGCCTGGACTCATATATAGCGGAAAGTTTCCTCTAAAGTAGGAGAGGCAATGGAGAAAGGGTCGATATACAAGTACGTGTAGTATAAACCTTGTGTTACAACAGTTTAACTAGATAGAGAAATAACCGCCACTCAGGACCAGAAAACAAGACGAGGGCACCAGGAGTCACTCTGCAACATTAACTTTCAGACTCGGTAGCCTGGAACAGCCGCTTCGCATTAATCCTCATCGCCCCATCCCAGTGTCCACAGGTAAGTGACCCATGATCTTTCCGAGGAGGTAGGCCTCCTCCACCCTGTTCCTCGTTCTGCGCGTACACCAGGGCCTGGCTCACCTAAAGAGCGGGAAGAGCTCCTTCTGAAGTCGTCTCTCAGGCTCTTCTGAGACCAGGCTTCTCCAGCTCCTGTGAGGGACCGGGCGCCGGTTAAACGCGTGGTCCGTTTAAACGCGCCGGTTAAACAGGCGCTTCACCAGCAGCAAGTGGGCCCCAAAATCAGCCCATCTAACACGCCCTCCCCTCAGGGGCTGCCGCCCTCGATCTCAGAAGTGACCGCAGCGGCTCCCACACCTTCCCTACAGCAGAATCACCTGGGGAGGCCTAGGTATTCTCAAGCACCGACGGAAACCGCCAGGCTCCAGACCCCTGACTAAACGGTACGTGACAATCCCTTTCCCCACCGGCTGCTGCGGGGACTGAGCGGGGTCTGCTGCCTCCTCAGGAAGGCCCCTTCCCTCAACCCATCGCCTCACGTGGGCCGGTTAAGGAGGGAACAGCGGGGCGACCCGGGGCTGCCTGCGGCTGCAGCCTGCCTTCCGCGGGAGGCGACTGAACGGTTCCGGGGCGGGGCTGGGGCAGGACCCGAAAGCGCAAGGAGCGGAGGCCGTGGCCTTTACCCTCAAGTTGTAGCAAACCGGACTCCCCCGCTTTCTCCCCAGCCGAGGGCCTACCACAACGCCAGACCCATTTTCCCGCGCAGAGGGCCAGAGGCACTTCCGTAGGGCGGGACTTCCGGCTGCCCGGCCCCGCCCCCACAGTCTCTTGGTCGGCAGCTGTTCCAGGACGTTCCCGAGGGCGGGGGGTGGGTAGCAAGGATGTGGATGCGGCGTCTTTAAACAGTGGA